ATGTTGGTGGAGATATATCCAGCAGCGAATCGGGTATTGCATGGCGGATCGGGCTTCGTGACCTGGCTTTGTCGCTTGCGCCTAGAGCGGGCATCGTGTCACAAGAAACCACCTTTAATCGAAACCATCGATCTGCGTTTCTTATCGTGGATCTTCGCGCTAGGGGAGATGTCCACAGATTGGAATTTCGGGTCCCAAAGATCCATGCCGTGATGCAACCCAGTTCTATAGGAGAGATTGGTGATTTCTTAGACCATCAACAAGTACGACATCATCTTCGGCATTGATCTTATTGCTTAATGTTTTCCAGGCTGAATTGCTTATTCGGAGAGATCAGCGAGCTGCGGAGTTAGCAGCGTTCAAGGAGAAGACTCGTAGTATTTTGAAAACGTTCGATATGAGAACGAGCGAGGCCACTCGTGACCAAAAGCCCCCTTGGTTTAGCGAGCATACCATAGATGTAGTCATCCAGAAGATTGGAGTGGCCTTCCCCCTCAGTCTTGAACAAACGCTGGAGCTTCCTCGGACAAGTTCCCGCGACGGTCCCTCTGTCAGGGCTTTTCTGTTTGCTGTTCGACGCATCAAGTTTAGCGCACAGAGAGGAGAAGCGGGCGAGATGTCGACTAAAGACTTATCCTTCCTGTTTGTGCCCAGGTGAGACTTAGTGGCACTCCAGCAAGCTCATCACGCTTATTCCTCATCATGGCGCTTAGTTTCAGGCAATCTTCATCTGAAGACTTTGCAGCAGACAAGCACAAAAGCCGAAACCGATTGGTGTACCCCTACATGACGGCGCGGATACGATCCGATACTTCTTTACTCAGTCGCCATATCTGGTTTTTTGGAAACGTCAGCGGGTTCATTCTAGACTTGGACTCAAACATCCCCGATTACATATTCTCGCTCATTGATGTGTACCGTCAAGGAAGAGAACGAATGGTCCGCATCGCTGCAAGCCTCCCTCGTACTACTATATCTCATCCTGACCTTGCGAGGGACGACGTTTCACCACGAGGCGGACAACAAGATGTTCCGACGTCGAGTATCTTTGCAAATATGATTTTTCAGAGCGGAGAAGTGCACGTTCATAGCGATGCAAAAAGTACACAGGTCTCGCCTCTGGGTACTCACCAATCGTCGGACGGCCAGCTGCGTCCAGAGCAGGAGACACTGAGACTTCCTATAGTCTCTGCTTTGGTTGAATACCGTGCTTCAGGTATACGAGTCGGTCCTGCAGCCCTGATATTTAAAAGCACCATTCATTCCAGCCAAAACACCTTGAGACCGAGTCTTCTGCCTTTCATGACCGAGATCGTCGATTACGTGCAGTTGCGCTTGCGCAAGACTAGCGGAGGACATCCGCTATCCATTGCACCGTCTCCTACAGAAGACGAATCCTCCCCGTTGCTGACCTCGAGCCGCCTGGAAAATTTATCCGAAGCATCATCAAGTTTGCAAATCACCTTCAGTCTACGCATAGACAAGTCAACACTCGAATTAACTTGTCAACCAGATGTCAACGTAGTAGCAGCTTTACGCTGGGAAAGTGGGGGTTTCCTTATGAACATCTCACCGGGTGCTCACAAAGTGACACTGACGGGCACTGTCGGCGGTCTCACGATTGGCCTCAAGCACGGGTTTTTGAGCGATGACTGCGTCAATATCGCAGCTCGCAATCTCGCATTTTTCCTTGCTTTTGCCAAGGGCGAGGGCCGTGCTGGCAATATCGACAGTACGATTTCCCTGGTAGTAGATACAGATATTTCTGGCGGTGTGCGTTTCTCGCGCCTGCAAGATGTTTTATGCTTCAAGGCGGTTTGGCTCGATCGTATTCCTTTGTTTGTCGCAGAGCATGCAAACTCTGACAGATCACGCCCGCCGACAGCCTCTTCCTCCTCAGTCACCACTCCTGTTGTGAAACAAGAGGTCACTACTGCACTCATGATTCGCATTCGCCAAATCCACTTGGAGGTAGATCTAGGACAGTCCATCAGCAGTGTGACTCTGGATCTCCAGAGTACAGTTACGCGAATGCGTTTATCTGAAATGTCGACTGAGGTGTCGCTCTCAGTGGCAAATGTCTCCATTCTTGCCAGGGGAAACGTCGCAGGTCACATAAATGTACCGGATTGTGTGTTTCAGACAATCCGCAGGAACGAAGGTGCCTTGTCCGATGATTCACGCACAGCTTGGATGCTCGAACTCAGCATGACTAGTGGTCCTTTGAGTGCTGAGCTCGAGTCAGATCACCAACGGCTACTGATTTACAGGCAATTATCATTATGTCCCGCCTTATTTTTATCTGATCATCAAGTATCTTTAGGGCTGATCCCGTGCAAGTGGATATCCACGATGATTGGTCACTCGTTTCCTCCACAGACAGAGGACAAGATCGGCCTTTGCTACTTGCATTCACGGTCAATGGCAAGGAAATTATTGCTCTTGCTACCATTGCAACCATACCGAAGTTGTTGATGTATGCCAACAAGTTCCAAGCCAATATTGCCGCGCAGCGTGAGGGCGCAAGTCATGAATCAGCCGCTTTCCGTGCTACGCAATCGCCCAAGCCTGACAATCCACTTACCGAAGTCGCTTCAGCATTCTTCCATTCTGCTCGTAACCGGTTCAAGGAAGCAGATGTGGAATTGTCTTACCGAATTCGCCAGCAGTTGAGCTTCCGCTTAGAGACCCTTCGGCTTGTCCTTTTTCCTCGCACCATGGGTGACACCGAGCTTGCGCAGTTCATCGGACGTGATGTCCATGCGAGCCTGGAGCGTGTGGTGATAGGCGAAAGCCCACCTCATAGGGAGATCCGTTTATCGTTCACGGCCTTAACTATTTCCAAGTTCAGCCAAGCTCAGCCACTCCTCCCGTCGACTATAATAGTGTCAGACAACAAAGCTTGGGTGGATCAATTGTTCAAGCATCCAACAGAGGCAAATATCGTGGGTCTGCCCACGATGAATATGCTAATGTTCACCGACGAAGTGATCGAAGATTTCGTCAAGTACATTGACTACAAGTTCTATAGCTCATTCGTGCGAGGCAAGGGCACCAAGGAGCATGAGGATATCTATATCTCGCTCAACGTGGCGCTATATTCGTGGCTCACTGGTCTTCGCAAGAATTTGACCAGGGAACTGGAACAGGTTCAGGGGTCCCAAGACTCGCGCAACACGACAGCGGGTCCATTATCTCGCAAAAGAGCAGGGGCTGCAGAACTACCTCTGTACATGGACGTTGCCCAGATGGATGTATCAAGTCCGACTAGCTCCACATCCAACCCATCATTGCCCGAAAAAGGCCCAGTCACTGAGTCCCAAACCAACTGTCATGGTTTCGCCTCAGCTGCCCTCGGAACTCTTCGCACACCCACCGCTGCCAACTTCCCAAGCTCGCTCCTTACCAGATCTTGACCCTTCTGTACTGCCTCCACCCCCTATCGCCACGAAAACTGTAGCGGTTGTGTACAGGGCTCGTGATCGCGTGATCGAGCGACTGACCATGCGACAACTTGGCGAAGCGACTCCGGATGTTATGCACCCATTCTTCATGAAGACAGCCGGTTTCAACCTTGAGGATTCTCTTCCGCAATACGTTCATGAATACGCCACGATTCCTCTGGAGGAAATTATGGAGGCCCTGCTAAAGTTGTACTCGAAACAGCTAAGAACCGACAGGGATATGTAAAAATTAAATCAGGTTATGACGTGATGATTATACATAGTGGTTGGGACATAATGTAGATAAACTACTTACCATATTTCAAGACTAGCATTTAATTATCTCATTCACTTCATTGTGTAACGGGCATCTGGGTTTCCCGAGAACTCGAATATCATGTTCATGGGAGGGAAAGACGTACGTGATGGCGAGTGTCTATCTAGCTGTACTTCCTGCGCCAACATTAAATACACTTAGTAAGCCAAAGCACCCGTAGAGAAGTGCAACTGGATACGCGACGAGAAGACGTTGGTCTGACATCCTCAACACAGCTACAAATATGCCAGAAGCAGCGAAAGTGCACCATATGATGGACAACAAGGACAGGACATAGCCAAGGATGCCGCTACAGTGAAAATAGGTACTTATGAGACAATTGAATATTGGGAGCAAAGCAATGAATCACGCACTCTAACGTAACAACCACGCTGATCGCACCGACGCCTACCATTGGCAATAAGCAATAGCCTAGCACAGATACTACGCGATATGCATCGATGCCATTTTCCGACATGAGATTTAGTAAGGTGTAGATTGAGATGGAGCCAAGCAATCCGAAGCCATATATGTATCCAAACTGAGGCTTCCCTGACTATCAACGCCAGATGAGACGCGTTACAACTCTGTCAAAGAATAAAACTTACTAGCAGCAAAAGGACTCCAAAACAGAAAAAGAACAAGAGCGGGCCGGCAAGGTCTGCATCGTCCATTATCCGCTCATCAATACGTCGTAGGGGATTAAGAACTGTCATAGACTTGGCACGTATGTGGGAAAAGTTGATCCCCAATTCTATCGCGCGCATGGTTCTGTCACTCTAAAATATATCTTGAGGGAAATTGCTTACCCTCCAGCAACGGTGGCTCTCCTTCAAAACCGCCAGTCCCGAAGGCGGTCCACCACCCTCCCGGTTGTTGCTGAATATTCCCTCCAAATGCTGGAGCAGCGCCTCCTTGTCCTATTGGCACCTGTGCACCCATGTTTCCCTCCAAACTGGAACGAGAGCCTGGATAGAACTGCCCTTGGTCTGATCCAGGCGCGTAGAATTGAAGGGGTACGCCTTGCTGGGGAGGCTGGCCATAGAATTGGCTGTGTGACGACGACGCGCCATACTGACTTGCAGCGTCCTGCCACATACTTATAAATTCGAGTCGTAAAGAAGAATGGAAGATTAAAAAGACTGGAAGGAGGCGTGCAACGTTTCTCGGTAGCGTTTGCACTTGTCACTCGCCTGCGCACGCCAACTTTCATAGCACTCCGACGGCAATTGCCGGCGTGTCCCCAAGTTCCTTTCGTCTATCACCGTCATGGTAAGTTTCTCTACTAAAATTTCTCATTCTAAACTCTGCTAACATCTTCCCATTCTGCTACCAGCCGCAGGTAAATCACATTTTGTAAACAAAATCAGGCTTTCATATGCCAATGACCAATTTTAGAACGAGTATATCGAGGAACATATTAAACGACATGGTAGACGATTAGATTACTACGAACGCAAGTGCGTGATTGGTTTCTATCGTGGCCTTACCTGTCCCTGCTAACACTCGAGTTAAGACGTAAAAAGGAAGCTCGTGCTGCTCATAAATCATCAGCGGTAGCCCAGAAAGCTTTCGGTCTCAAGGCTAAGATTCTGCATGCGAAACGTCATGCAGAAAAAGTTCAACTCAAAAAGACCCTCAAAGCTCACGATGAGCGCAATGTCAAGCAGGCCGACACATCTGCCGTTCCAGACGGTGCATTACCTACGTATTTGCTCGACCGTGAAGGTCAGAAGGATGCCAAAGCCCTATCATCTGCAATCAAGCAGAAAAGAAAAGACAAGGCCGCTAAATTTGCGGTTCCACTACCCAAAGTACGGGGGATTGCAGAGGATGAAATGTTCAAGGTGATGAAGACAGGGAAGAGCAAAAGCAAGTCATGGAAGCGGATGGTTACAAAAGCGACATTCGTTGGGGAAGGATTCACTAGAAAACCTGTCAAGATGGAGAGATTTGTTAGGCCCATGGCACTTCGATATAAGAAAGCCAATGTTACTCATCGTAAGCTTCGTTATTTCGTCGTTTACGAAACTGGGACCTGACTGTCCTGCAGCGGACTTGAAGGCCACTTTCCAGCTTCAAATTCTTGGGGTCAAGAAGAATCCACAGTCGCCTATGTATACTCAACTTGGAGTTTTGACGAAAGGCACTGTCATCGAGGTCAACGTTTCAGAACTTGGAATGGTTACGACAGGTGGCAAGGTAGTATTTGGAAAATATGCTCAGATTACCAATAATCCTGAGAACGACGGTTGCATAAATGCTGTTCTTCGTAAGTTCTTCCACTTGGTTGCGAGTTCGTTGCCCTAATTCGAATTTTGTAGTGGTATGACCGTGGACAATTGCAATATGTTGTGTTATATCGAGATGCCTCCTCAATGTTTCAAAAGTAGTGTTCAATTCATTATTACATGTATCGCGAGAGATGCATACGTTCTCTGGTCACATGAAATTAAAACGCAATATTGTACAGAGACGGTAGACTCGTGACCAGTCTGGACTACGTCTTTCCAGACCGGTTGCGAGTCTACTGAGACGGTATATTTTTGTGGTTATGCGATGTCGTTGTTGTTTTGGCGGTAATCCTGCGTACTTGATGGATCATGAAACGATTGATAGGTTCTCGGTGTCTGGTCATTTGTAGCGTTATGCTTTGTTATGGTCTGTTTACCAAAGCTCTTGCATAGTCGTCCATGTCAACCTCAAACACTCCTGTGTCAGCTTCACATTCTGCCTCGCCCGCTCCTGATCAGGCTAAGAGGCGTCATGTACTCACCGCTGTTGAACGCCAGCGCTCACAACTTGAACGACTCCTCAAGGATCCCTCGAAGCCTGCCTATGTACCTCCTGCACCGAAGGAGAAGACTATTCGCCCAGCTCGCGAGATGATGAAGAATGTCCAGGGATCAAGTGCTGGTGCTGGAAGTGGCGAGTTTCACGTATACAAGGCCAGTAGACGCAGAGAATACGAGCGACTGAAGATTATGGAAGATGAAACGAGATTAGTATGTGGTTCAGCTTCATAAAAATGACATGCCCTGAAGGTTTTACAGGAATATGAAACAGCAGAGTTTGAGAGAAGGCGGAAAGAAGCGGAAGATGTAGCTGAAGCCAAGACAGCCAAAAACCGAGCCAAGCGACAAAAGAAGAAGGAAAGAGCAAAAGCCAAGCCATCAGAGAAAGGCGACGGGAAGGATGGCATGCAAGAAGCTCCATTGAAGAAAAGAAGATTGGTGAATGGAAAGGAGCTCGTGTTTAGGAAACCTGGGGAGGAAAGCGACGATGAAGAGGTGGATGACGCTGAGGAACACGATAAAGTCGGTCTACAGGATGACTTGGAGACTGACCAGGTTCCAGCCGAGGAAGCACCCCGTATTGCACAGGAGCAACGAATAATATTTCACGAGGATGACTAGGCTTGCTTTTCACTCACCTGCATATCTTCATGCTTAAACCTGATCTTCAGAGCAAGCAACGCGTGCAAATTTCGATCAATTGATGTTCTGCCTTTTTTTGGCAGAACTAGTTACTGGGGGTCTGTCGTATGCTTTTAACCGGTTAATTTTTGTCCTTATTTTGAATCTGCTCCGCATTCAAGTAGTTGATCGTGCTCCGCATGGTAATTCGCAAGGTTGTTCCACGTCGACAAATTGCTGGCATCGGGATTTCAGGTCGCTTCGCCTATAATCAGCGTATAAAGCAAAAAGCGCCTTCCTAGAATCCTACTGTCCCCTTCAGATTGATTTGATTCTCTTTTACATCCTCCAAAACAATGCGTTTCTCCTTTGTCCTCGCGGTGGTCGCTGCTTTGACAGTATCGATATCCGCTATACCTTCTTTCGCTGATAGATCAATATCTGCCACTGAGAATTGTCCTGTCTTTTGCACAAAAGATATTGACTGCTTTGGCTGCACCCAGAACAGCTGCGTGAGTAGTTTGTGTCCATAATTTAAGCACATGACTCACCAGCGTGATAGTACCTTGTTTTTTGCACCGGTTAGTGTATGGCAAGACGCGGAAGCCTCGATTGGGTGCTCAACCAGGTGGGATATAAGGAGCTTTGATTGCGGCGGAGGGTGATCAGGCTGAGAAATGTTTTTGGAGAGGAGGTCGAGGAGTCCAGCCTAGCTATTACAATTAAGGAACCAGGGTCTATTATCCAATTTGAATATTTTTAATTTTCTGGGGCGGGAGTGGTCGACTAGCAGCTCAACTCAGGTTGTTGTGATTAATAGAGTCTGCACTATGACAACGGATGGTTGCAAGGAGGCATCTTGATGGCGGCGCGTACATGATGTAGAATGCAATCTCAACCCTTCTTCTGCTGGCGTGATACTACGAGCGTCACACATTGGAAGCAGAGCTTAGATATCAACGAACTGGAGAAGTGAATTTCAACGCAAGGGAAATACGAAACTCGGGCTAGAATGGTCAATCGATACAGACGTCGCCTTGCTGGCAGAACTTGAAAAGGTATGGGAAAGATGAATCTGTGATAAACTTTATAGCGATGTAAATCTTCTACCCCATCAGAATTAGGCGTTTGTCTATGCCGCTCATATTAAAGATGACCTGCTTGCTGGCCCAGAAGTCATTTCGATTGACGAGATTAATGTGTTTGATGCACTGGAGAAGCAGAGAAAGATATCAACCGACTCGAGATTTATATAGAGCTGGAGCGAGTTGAGGCCAGTATGGTGCCAAAGTCTGTTGATGCATAGGAGTTCTCAGTGTTTTATCACGGCGAGACCAATGAATGGCCGGGTTGAGCACTTTCTAAAGTTCTCACGGCTATGTTTGCTTTTGATTGTTGATCAATCTTATCTCGATCGTCCAGTCACTGGCATTAATACAATACTGGCCTGACTGCTTTGCTACCACATCGTCTTACGAGCGGTTTGCCTCGTTAGCTTCTCTGAGTCTTATCACGAAGAGTCTGGAAGCACACTTTATCCCGATGAGTGAGACGTTCGAGGACGACTTTGAGATCATTGACGATGTCGACGACCCCGAGATCATCGCGCTGACTGAGTTGGGGACGACACTCATCCAGGCTATCCTGGAGAAGGAGCCCATCTCGAACGTGCAAGATTTAATAGATGCAGGAGCTCCACTGTGGTACCAAGACGATGAAGGTACTTCAGCTCTGCATGCTGCTGCCTACGTCGAAAACGAACAGCTCGTGAAGTTACTCATCGAGGAAGGCGCAGTCTGGAACGCAGGTGCGACAGATGCCACTCAAGGAATGCCTCCGTGGACTAAGTAGAGGGTATAGTCGACAACTTGCAGAATACTGCTGGCGATATCGCACTGTCGCTCAACAATCTAGCGTGTTATAACCTAATTCGCGACGCAGGCATCCGATCAGGTACTAAGTATCTCATTCTTCACTCTGGACGAGTGCTTATAGATATTTCCAGAGTTTCTTCTGACCTTACTTATGTCCAAGACATCCTTGAATCCTACCCCGTCATCACTCGTGCTTCGGGACGTGGACAACTCCGCAGTTGCATCCACAGACGCATTTTTGTCGTCCAAGTTGCGCTACACTCAAGATGCACATGGCCAGGATATATGCCTGCTTGACGTCGATGACGGTCAAGAAGTGGGCGTTATGATGGGATGGGAACGGGAGATCAGTGAGTACAGCCCTTCAAGCGATATATGACATCGAACGAGGCGGTTTCCGAATCAGTGCAGAAAACCGTGGAGAAATTATGCATCGATCACGAAAAGAAAAATCAAGGGTTGAAAATCCTTAATGTCGGGTTCGGTCTTGGTATAGTGAGGACCTCGCTGAGCCAAACAGCACATTCTCCTAACGATGACACAGATCGACAATTTTTTCCAAAATCTCAGCACACCCCCTGCATTGCATGTGATTGTAGAGCCTCACCGCGACGTTCTCGCTCATATGAAGGAACAAGGGTGGTACGACAAAAAGGGAGTGAGCATATTGGAGGGCAAGTGGCAAGACTGCATTGCTAGCGAGGCCCTCCAAGGATTTGGGAAATTTGATGTCATCTATACAGACACCTTCTCAGAAAACTATAGCGGTGAGCTATTTTCTACCACTAAGAATCATTAGAAAACGGGATATTAATGTCGATTTCTCCTCAAGAACTCCACAATTTTTTCAAACATTTACGAGCACTTCTAGCGAGTCCTGAATCGAGATTCAGTTTCTTCAATGGCCTGGGCGCAACCAGTGCGTTTATACTCAAATTCCATATTCCTAGGAACTCAACATATCTACAGATGCGCTATTTTATGATGTGTATACTCGGTTGTCGGAACTACACCTTGCCGAAGCCGGAGCAGATGTTGTCTGGAGTGATGTGAATGTGGGCACTCAAAAAGATGAAGAAAGATGGGGTGAAACACGGAAGTACTTCTCTTTGCCAATTTATCGTTTACCCGTAGCGAAGCCCAAGCAAATCTAAAACATGAGATCATTAACCATCGTTTTGATAGTGTACTAGTAAAAGGTAGTCAATGTAAGCTAATGCTGTTACCGCTCATGATCGTAGGAGGCTCGCCGCAATATAGATCGTTTTGCCCTGGCTTGTAAGTTTGATGCGACAACCAAGAATCGCCTTTGCGGAGTCGTGATACACGTTGCTATGCCAGTTCCTGGTCGTGACAAGGCCACTGCGCAGCCCGTTGCAACCGCACCACAACATACAATGCCTTATATTTACATGGACCAAAGCAGCTCTTCAAAATTCACTCTGACCCCAAGAGCTGGATCTGCCTCGTTTCTCTCGCTTTCTCACTCACAAGCAGGCCTTGCAACAGGATTGACAGGCTCAGTCTTGATATCAATCTTCCGTCTTATTGATCGCAAGCTAGTCTTGATTCAAGTTATCGCTGAATCATTTACCGCATTTACCTCAACGTCGCTCTTGCTTCTTCGTCCTGACTTTCGTTGAAATGGCACTGAGTCCCCCCAAGTATGATGACAGCATGCGACCTACATTGCCCCTTTGGTCCAGCCCCAAGACCAGGAAGAATGAGGTGGTAGTGGTGTGTAGTTCGTTCTTTGCTCTCAAACGTAGTTAATGCGTCTCTTCTAGGAACTATCGCATGCTCAGCCTCTTCCCCTACTTCCCCTCGGGTTGCAAAACTATGTAAGTCCTCTCATATGTAGAAATCCCGTTAGGTGCTTATCACCTGCACCTAGGTTTCTCCTCATATGTGGGAGACTCGTGTACGTGGCATCACGCGCATGGCTTCCCAGTATTCCAAACCAGCGCTGGAAAGATCCTGGATGTTCGTAGCTCTGATGTAAGCTCATCTCTTTTATGGCCCAATTTTTTCCTGATCTCCTACTATAGCTTGACATTTATCGCTCCGATTGTGGCTTACTACGACTACATCCATCAATTTGACGATGAACAAGTCGACGAGGATCGTCAAATTCAGATCGTCTGGCAGGCTAGGCTCGTAGCCCTTCTTGTCACAGTTGGTCTTTGGATCGTCATGTTCCTGCCAATTATCATATGGAAATACATGGTGATTTAATCTGGTTTCTCTATCAGTTCGCTGTACTGAAACGAGATCTTGAAAGGGACGTGTGCGAGTAAATAAGATGGTTGATCGCTGGGCCAAGGATGATCTCCGATCTGCTTCGTCCTATGCGGCTATTCCCACCTGGAACGTTACCATGCCTGGCATGTTTAGGGATGGGATTGTAGGTCTTATTTTTCAACTACAGTCAACGTCAACTTCATACTCCTGGGCTCCTTTTAGGTCCTCGCTGTTTCCTTCCCTGCACCACCTAGTAGCTTTGAACTTGAAAATTTACCACCGGTAAGAATGCATGTTAATTGTTCATGATACATGTCTAACGACGTACTAGTATATCGCACCTCCCACCGATGCTGCGCCGTCCTACGAGGCTATCAAACGGCTCTCGAGTCTTCAGGGGGATGGTAAATTTGGCGAGATCCCGCTTTACAATGATGCCAAGGAGATTGCAGCGTAGATGACCGCACCAGATACTGTAGCTAGGACTTGGACAATGGAATGCAGGTCATTCTGGATAAGATGGATCGTGGGAATGATGATATTTGTGCAGTTGTCTGCGAGTTCGAGCGGCGACAGTAGTTTTCACAATGACGATCTATAGCTTATATATCTACGATAGGTGAGCAAACTGGCTGGTTGCTCAGTAGATCATGATCCCCAACCGTTGAGCCAGACATTGTGCATGTGTTTACTATCAGGACTGGCACCGAACCAAGCAGCCAAAGCGAGCTGGAGAAGGAGGAGGCATCTTAAACGCCGTCTCCCAAGCTGTCTCTCCACTTACAACCGACAGCGCCGCTCCTACACCATCAGCATTTAGCAGTCCCAGAAATACGTTATCTTCGACATCAGGATTGGTTGTCGCTGTGGGCGAGGATCCTGCAACACCTCTACCAATTCCAGCTGAACATGCAAGGTCGAATACCCTTCCTTTTGATGAGGAGGCGAAGCTAGTATATGGTGTTGTCCTGTCGCTCAGGAACATGGTCAAAAAGATTTCGGGAAGGTGTGCATTACCTGCTTATCCCATCCAATCCTCACCTGATAGCATATAAAGAGATGAACAGTTTACCAGCTACCGCACATCATCATACAGGCTTCACTTGTATGAAACCGCATCTGGCTACAAGTTCGTCATGTTGAGTGATGCGGCTACTGATGGTCTTCGCTTCATACTTCGTCAAATCTACAATGGCCCTTTCCTCGAATATGTTGTCCGCAACCCTCTCGTCCCCATGGATTCCCGTTCTCAGGGCATCGACAACAATTATCTCCGTGCTAGTGTCGACCGTCTCGTTCGTGGACTGTCAGTTTTCAATTAATTGCTCGAAAACTCTATCAATATCTACATACCATACCAAAATCAAGATGGTAAACAATAAGTAAAAGCACTAATGGATGCACAGGCAACAGAGCATATTGACAATGATTAAGAGGACGGTGCGGGTATTTGTTCAAGTCCGGTGGAAGCTCCATCTTGCCTTTCTAATTGCCTCCTTAACTGGCCCATGAGCGACTTCTTAACCTCTTTTTCCTGTCTGCTCGCCCCCTTGTCGCCGTCGCCTTCCTCGGTTTCTCCTGCTACTGCTTCGTCGAGGGCCAGTTTAGTCTCCCCAAGTCTGAGCATATCTTCTTCAATCGTCCCGCGACTGATAAGTTTCACGACATCTACATCTCGTTTTTGGCCAATGCGATAAGCGCGGTCTTGTGCCTGCCGATCATTGTGAGGATTAAAGTCCTGGTCGAACCTTTGGGAGAATGAGAAAGGGGTTGCATGTACATTGATGATGTAGATCACTTACATGACAACGACACTTGCAGCTGTCAAGTTGATACCCATACCACCCGCCTTCGTTGACAGGAGGAATACAGGTATCGATGCATCTTCGGTGAACTCATCTACAAGCGTTTGCCGCACATCTACGGCAGTGGAGCCAGTCAGAATTAGATATTTAATGTCCTTCAGCTTCAAAATCGCTTGAAGAATATCTAGTATCTGTGTGAACTATACGGGGGGGTTTTAAGGCTAGGATCATTTAAGCAATAGGAACGAACCTGAGAGAATATGAGAATCTTTCGTTCCGCCTTCCTATAGTCCTCGAGCAAGCGCAACAGAACCGATATCTTTCCCGCGTTAAGATAACAGTTTTGATCTTGGAGAAATTTTCGCGTCGACTGCGCAGCGTGAGTATGGGTCATCCGCATCAACAAAATAGATCAGCCCTTACCTTATAGCCCTGGCAGAAGAACTGAAGTTCTGCGTCGGTCATGACTTCCATATCCTCCTTGATATACTCGAAGACTGCGCCTCGTTTCTTGAATTCCGGCTCCTTCAGCAGTTGTTTTGCTATCGAAGTCAATGCCTGATCATCAAATAACTTGCGGAACAACATGGGATGTGAGGCTGCTTTGCGCAAATCCATAAGCACGTTGGAGCTGTTTTCCAGGTACTTGTCCTTGGCACGATGATTGGCTTTCATCTTCTTTTTAACGGCTTTGCCATTCGTGACTGGTGTCGTCATACCTGATGCGTCAGGAGTAGCACCTTCTGCATCCAATATCGTTTTTCGCGACCGTTGCAAAGTGTCGTGGTATATCGAGCGCTGTATGTCGGTCATATCGCACCATTCTATCCGTTCGGTTTTTAGCGGAAGGTCCTTTAGAACCTGTAATAAAAAGGTTACACATCAAGCATGACAATAGCAACATAAATTACCTGATCCTTGCGCCGTCGAAGGACAAACGGCGTCATCATCTTCTTAGCCCTTGAAATACGCTCCTGAGATAGTAATGTGACCTTGGCATCGCCCTTCGTTTTGAAGATCGCTCGCAAGGTCTCCAGCTTTTCCGAGAGCATACCAGGAAGGATGAAGTTCATCAATGACTAGACAGTTGATGTGAAATCGAATTGAGCAGGTCAAAAAATTACACTCACCACTAGCTCTTGAAGGTTGTTCTGCAAAGGAGTGCCCGTTAAAAGAAGTCGCCATTTTGGTTCGAATTTTAGTAATGCCTGATAACGCTGGGACTGGAAGTTCTTCAAGACGTGTCCCTCGTCGAAAACGATAGTCTAGGTCACACATGTTCAAACTCGAATGATAGAAAGCGAATATTTTGACTTACGTCCCACTCCATTTTTCTGAAAAACTTGCGGTCTTTGTCATCACCTTGAGCAAGGTTGTAGGTGGTGATAAGCACCTCCCACCCCGTCCCATTCTTGCTTGATCCTCGCCGTGTGTCTATCAGCATCTGTCGCAAGTTTGCTCGCTCTTCTTTGCCAGCATAGAAAGTTTGCACTGATATCGAGGGTGCAAAGCGAGCAAATTCTCGACACCAGTTTTCCAGCGTTGACGATCTGCGAGAAACCGGTATCAAAGCTAATACGCTATCAAGAAACGATCAAGCATACGGCACAATGACGAGATGCGGGCCAAAGTTTCCACGTTCCTTGAGCAGAGCGAAGAAACTGATAACTTGTATGGTTTTCCCGAGACCTGAGTAATCTCGTAAGCATCCTTGCTGTTCAAACCGAGGGAGCACAAACCCATTTCGTCGGCTAGAATACAACTATGTTTTTTCCGGTAGAGCAGAAACAGCCAATTGATCCCAAGAAGCTGATAGTCTTTAAGTGCTATGCCTTGCGCAATCATTGAAGGTTGAGATGAGATAAAGCCCTTGGATGCAGCATCGTTTGAAATTTTCAATGCACGTAGACTCAACGATCCTTCCTCGATTTGATCCGGGGCTAATGATGTTTCCTTCCCTTTGCCTTTGCTTGATGGATCTTCCGTAGTCCAAGTCGCAATAGCAGCGCGCAAAGTCGAACCTATTTGCTCGCATTCTTCAAGGATGCCATCGACAGTGTCATAGCCTTGAAGGATCTCCTGACAGTCTTCAAACATACGGGGGCTGATTCCAGATGGTCCTGCCTTTTTCTTGCCTTGGTTAAGTTTGGTGTTGAGGTCCGCTATTGAAGAGTAAGGCCGAAGCTCGATGATCTTCTGCGCTTGTTCTGGGGTGCAACCTTTTGTGATCTGAGCAGCTGCACTTGATAGAGATAGCAGTAGAAAGAATATACCAGTTAATTCCTGAATAGCATCTGCATTGGCCTGGTTGAAATACTCAAACGCTGCCCTCTCCCGAGAAATTTCTCCATTGTGCCGGATTCGTGGAAGCTCCTCCTCGCTTTCGCTTGCTTCAGCCTCGTCGTCGGAGAGGATCAACTTCTTTGGTCGCTTGCGGCGTGGGGCCATGATGGCAGGTGTGGATGGGGACGCAGGCGACATAGCCCTGGATATAGGGATGTTGGGAACCGCAGGAGGCCGTGTGGTATCTAATGTAGCTCTGTTAGCATAGATGGATGATTTCTTGGCCTTCTCCCGGAGAGCAGCGCGCCGGGTTTTGGTAGCTTCATCGACCTCTTCCACTCTCCCAGTACTCTCGACAGTAGGTAGTTCTGGCGCTGGCATAGACGGTGCTTTGGTGACGGTGGAAGAACTAGATGGAGTCGATGTGGATTGGGGCTTCCATGACGAATCAGAGAGGAGCAAAGATGCCTTGTTGTCATTCCCATTAGCTTCATTCCAAGCAGCTCTGAGGGTGGGTAGGTCATGACCAGGGTGCGAAAGCTGGAATACGGTGAACACATATGAGTCAGTGTGGTCTGGGCGCTGGCCACGAACGATGCGCTTCGAAGGTCCTTCCAGCGACGACCTGACATCCAGCATCGATTCATCCGACGAATGCGACTGCCTTTCTGCGTTCATATTCTGTTTTCGCCTTTGCCCTGGGTGTTGGATATCTGGAGAGCCAGGGGTTACCATCCCGAGCGGTAGAGCATCGGGGGGTGTTCCGCGATTTACACGCTTCCTCGGTGGACCTTCATCCCCAAAACTGTCAACTTCTGATAACGGTCTCACATCTCCAGTCCATGGACGCGACTGACGCGTGAATGACGCGTGAGCAGGGCCACCACCGTGGACAAACCCACTTGATGAGGACAGGACATCGGGCATAGCTGAGGGGCCGGACTGACTCCACAGATTGGAGTGATTAGGGCCAGTCGTTGCGGAACTACCTTGAGCGTACTGGAGATGATGTGGTCGGTAAGACTGATGATAGCCTGCATCTTGAAGTAGAGGGCTAGAATTGGGGACGAGGACTATGCCTCGTGACGGAGTCGCTGGAGGATGGTATCGCACTGGCGCCGTAGCATCTCGGGACTGAGGAGGAGGGGCAAAGGAAGGATAAGCGACGTTACTGGTGGCTGCTGAACAGTCAGTAGCTTCGGATCCATCTTTGTTGGGCTTCTTCTGGAACCTTAGTCCGCCAACTGCAGTCGTCTTCTGTAGAAACGACGGGCGCTTTGTGAGAAAACGACACGAAAAGCTGAATTACCAACTAACTCTACTGCTTGCGACGTCGTCGACAGACATCGACGACGACGACGACATACTGAGTTATATAATTTTTTGAGAAAGGACGAGAAGAACCCGATGGACTTTAAAAGTTGTTGCCTACAAGTTGGTGGGAGGCAAATCGGATGTACGCCATTTACCCGTAACGTCGGAGAGTCAATGGATGTGGCACAAGAAAACTATATTTCCACTAGATAATAGACATGAAAAGCCAAAGGCTGTACAATAGATAGGTGCATGGTATGTAAGGACACTGAAGTCGTCGCGTGGATGGGGAGTAAAGACTAGCATGGTCACGGAACACATGCTGCGTCGGTAGAAGGTGCATGCATATAGAGCAAACGTGCCCACCGTCGATCCTGTCAACAGAACCGATGCAAGATGTTGTGATACCGTGGGCATGCTGGCCTCTTGACAGATGCGACGGGGAGGCAAATAGCAACACTCGTCTCTGGTAACGGGAAACCAAAGGTCGATGACGGAAAACAGGTTTGAAAGATTTATTATCAGATATGAACTACATATAAGGATGTAAGAGCCTGCACTTGGAGGTGGCGACGCACGTAGAGAGAACACATAGTGATGTGCAGCACAAATGCTCAGAATTGATCAACAGATCACGAGTAGATCAAGATCGCACACAGTTCCATGTTCCGAATATCAAGTGCCAATTCAACTTGGAACTTGAATATATCAAGTTCCTTGCAAAGAATTATCTGCTTCGAACTTGAAGAGAAATGTAAGTTTAATTGAAAGAAACAAAGGATCTACTCACTTCAACCGAGTTATAGTAACGTCGTGTATCAGTGTTGAGTGACCACATACAAATGATCATTTGTGGATGTGATCTAGCGAAACCCAACTGAAATTCAATATACAGATGAGGTTACAACTGGTTACAATCATGAAAAACCTAAATAGTTTATGATCAGATATCACAAAAGGCCCATGAGTGAAGAGACAGTCCCGCTGTAGGCTTCAAAACAGTCCCATCTACAGGTTGCAACAACGGCAGCAAAAACCTGGGAACTTCCGGGTGGAAAATCAGAAAATATGAGAAAACAGGTTCAATCTAGGAACTCGTTCTAGTGTCTGAAAAATTGTAAAAGATTAGCAACATACGTTACATATGAGCTAGTCAAATACGTTTCAAAGAAGAAAAAAGTACAAAATCAAGAAGAGCAAGTGGAGTGTGGATGCCATTATTGAAGGCGGGGGATGGTGAGAGATGGTGGTGGTTCGAGTTCAAGATAGTTGTCGCCCAAATTACCACTTTGGCAGTGTCAAGGCACTTGCCGAACTCCCAGCCCTCAGTGGGACTGCGCACCTGCGCTTAACTGTTCCTCTCCTTATTTCCCTCCTTACTGTAGCCATCATGCTTGGACTTTTCGATTCGATGATGCTGTTAGGGTCTTTGGCCTTGTCACTGGCCATCTTGGTGCCATTAGCTGGCACATTGGTGCGCTTCAGAGCACATTACAACCCGAAGGGTCTGCAACTCGATTCAGAGGGCGGTGTACAGCCCCACACTGGCCCAGTCATCTCATCCTTCTTTTCAATGCTGAGAAGGGTACACAGAATCGAGGTAGACGCTCCCGCATAGTATTCAAATTATCAGCGCTCTGACATCGTGTCACAGGGTTGGCCAGGACTATACAAGGGGTTAAGTATGAGTCTAATATAATATTATCATGTCACATCTGACGCATGTTGCCTAGTGCCCTCGTTGTTGTCAACTCTCGTTATTACCTTCTTCCTGATGATATTTTTGAGCGACAGCAATCTTCGCCATGGAACATACAGCGCTCCTGACGCAGGCGCTGTCGGCATACTCCTCTATAGTATTTTCGCCATGCTCGTTTCTCTTCCTCAGGTAATCATTACAAATCGGTTAGTTCATTCTATTCGGCTCACTTGCCACTGACATTTTGAACTAATCAACAAATGAATGGCTTCTTAGTGCAATTACAACACCACATAAGTTGCCGTACTTCAACCCAATCTATTCACTCCGTATTCTCTTGACGCCCACGGAACGGCGGAAACCCTGGATTCTCTATCTCACTCCAGGTCTCCTTGCCACACAAGTTGCCCACATCGCCTACATCGTTCTTGGTCTGCGATCGATTCGGCAGCTTCTTCTCCCAGAACTCGCGAATCCAGGCATGCCTCGGATAGAAGAAATTTCCCCCGTTAAACTTGTCGTATTCCTCGTCATCGCGCTTCTGAGCACAATCATTCTCACCCCTTTGGAAGTTATTGCCATCAGACTTTCTATTCAACGGAACCACGCAGCCCCTGAATTCAACTCTATTTCACAAGAGGAGGAAGGCGACGCCGATGAAGCAACGGAGTACGCTGGTGTGGAAGAGGATGTCATTGGGTATGTAACATCACCTCGTTTTTGTTCCCTGAGATAACAATTCACAATTGTAGCCTGAGAACCGAGAGGGAGCCATATGTCGGCTTGATTGATTGCGGGAAGAGGATTATCGAAGAGGAAGGTTGGGGCGCGTTGTATCGTGCATGGTGGTTGACGACAATGGGCAGTCTGGGCGGTGTATTCTCATAAAGATGTTCAGTTTTCTGGTCTATACTGGACTTTCTCCCCTTCCTCCTAATGGAGCATGTCTCGATTCGCGAATACGCCTTTCAAACCGGAAACATACTATGCATATTGTATTACCGTTGTACTTGGCCGCCTCCTGTTAATTTCATCTGTCAGCTGCCTGCATCAGTATACTTCATGTATTCGATGGATGTGGTATGGTCCGATCGATCTGTTGCGTACAACACTGTTGACGGCGAGCGAGGAAGAGCTATCGAACACAATGCAACGTACGACTGCACTGGTCGCTGTCAGTTCCTCTCGTGCATAACTCGAGCTTGACACCATTCGCACACAGATCAATACAAGCTGGAATGATAATGCTTCACGTCGAATTATGTAGGCCAGAAACTTCGCCAACACGGCGTACAATGAGCTATTACTATAATTGGCGTAAGTCTGGCTAGGTGCGAGGAACAACGATTGTCCTACTGTCAACCTCCTGTTATGCTGACCCATCTCCCTGCTTGGTTATTCTCCAACCGAGCCATTCGTATGTGATGAAGCCGCGGCGTCGGACGTAGCTACAGACGACGGTTGCCCCCCTGTCGTCGAACTAGTGTTTCCTTGCCCAGAAGTTGCACTCCTCGACATCATAGTATTCAATAAATATGCCAGTCCGCTCACTTGCGGTGACTGTAGTAATGACACATTTATCTCTAGGCTCAAAATTGTCCCATTGGAAGTAGACCCTCGGAGCACAGCCGGCGGTTGCGGCTGATCTGGAGGCGGGAGTGAAGCAGCGGGAATCGGCACTATTCCAAGAGCGTGTAGCGCAGGTAACGAGCTAACGGGAAGCTGCACTGGAATTGCAGTAGAAGCCGATGTTGCAGTGGGAGCGGCCGAAGGAGCCGATGTGGGTGTCGAGTAAAAACTCGAATTTGTAGTGCCTTGAGAGGTATTGGTATATGGTTGAGTAAATGCGTATGGATACGTGCGATAGTACTGGGTTTGCGAGGTTTGAGGATAATAGGTTGAACGAAAAGAACTGACGGTGACATTGGCTGCGATGCGTTTTTCACGCTGTGACGCGTCTAGTTCGTTCCGCGCGTTGCGTAACTCTGTACTGACAGACGATGTTTCTGCCCGTTCGTACTCCACCACAGCTTGAGCCAACACGTATCCTTGATCATCTGGAGAAGGCCGCTAAGGATTACGTAGTAAATAGTCAGGGAGAGAAAGCCCGTTGAACAGAAAGAACAAACCATGCCGGACTTCATTTTGGCGCGTCGAAATCGCGACTCAAGCTTTCTCAATCGACGGTAACATTCCAGGGCAAATTTAGTGTCTATGACAAGTAAAATAAGGAACTCCACCGCCGTGAAGTAAGAGACAGTGTTTTCCTACCTTCAATCTCATCCCTGATCGCATCGTGGGCCTTCTCCTTTCCTTTCGCACGTCTCCTTTCTGTGACGGTCCTCAGGTCTTCTTCAGGTTGTTGGAAGACGTGGTAGGGAAGAAGCCGATGGACAACGTCTACTGCATCAACAAAAGGAGAATCTACGTCAGGATTTAGTACTGCTGCGTGATCGGCAGCAAGGCACGACGCAAAACTGTCCGGAGTATGAGTAGAGGCCATTTTTATGAATCTCCGAGACATACCCCTCCGCAGTTTCCCTGATTATATGCATGTCCTCCGGCGTTCGATTGTTCAAATAGCCCAGCAAACCAGATGTTGCATTGCTGGTAGATCCGTTTACAATGGGAATATGTAGGGATGATAGACCCGTGACGGGGTCCTGCGATGAAGAGGAAGAAAAACTTTGAGGTGATGTATCATTTGATGACCAAGTAGCCGCGTTGGACGACTCCTCGACTGGTTTCAGAGAGGAGCTAGAGCTCGGCGCACTCATCATTTTCTGGACTTTGTCGTGTTTGTGATGCTTTGCCTTGTGACAATCCCCGTGACCGCGCGAACAGTAGAATTTAGGGCAAGCCTCCCCGAAAGGGCGATCCATGCTTTGTGTAATAGAAACAAATATTACGGAGTAGGTACTAGGTACACTAATTAATCGTCGATGAAGTCTCCTCGGTAATCGGGATGGCTGGCCGTGTGATGAGGACAGATTTGAGCTTTTTCAGCCAATCAGTCGCTTGAGCAACTTCCTCAGCATTGCTATTTGCAACACGTTCCAGGTAATCCTTGGCAAGTAATAGATCCCCTCCTGCAACCACCATGTGATGGCGCGCGACAAATATGCTTGACTTGGCATAGTCCTGAACAGGCCGCTCTACAGGACTAAGGTGACTTGGCGGAAGCTTGGCCAGATAAGAAAACCAAACCTTCGATACGACAGATCTCCACAACTCGTCGGTGATATGCCGCGGCCTCCGCTTGGTCATCCAGCTCCTCGTGTAGTTTGGCAAGTTTCATATGTATGGTAGTCTCACGGGGATCAGCACCAAGTAAAGCACGCTTCAGGCATTCAACGGCCTCCTTCAGTCTATGGGTATGGTAGCTCTATCAGTGGCACTTGATCCAAGGAACGAGGACAAAAACAGACCTCCCAATTTCTTCGTAACAAGCACCTTGAGCCTGCCACAGACGGACATCATATGGCCTTGGTAAAATGTCAATTTCTTACAAAGTAAATGGAGCGGTCTCAATAACTGACCTGAGAGCAGTAGCATGTTGGTAGTAATAAAGCGCATATCGGTGCATGCTTAGCAATTCATAAGCCTGGCCAAGACCATACCACGCCCTGTAATCCTTCCGACTCACATCTCAAAGACAACATGTGATTAGCATTCAACCAGTTCAAGTGTCCGTAGATTACATACCAACTGCTCGACGATATGCTTCGATAGCAGCATGTGAGTTTTTCATCTCGACATACTCATGGCCCATCAATGTCCACGCAGACAAATAAGTTCGGTCCAGTTCAGTTGCTCGTCTGAAGTATTTGACCGCTTTCTCATGTTCTGCACGAAGGGAGTAATGATTTCCTGCGTTCCAGAGGTCAGCATACACGAATAATTGCGGCTTCATATCATGACTGACCAACCAAGCAGCACACTTCCGGTCGATCTTTGTCGAGTTCAAGAAATTCATGAGCTAGCCTAGAAAGCCTCAGCCGGTTGTCGGTAACATAAAGTATATTGGAGTAGACATCAATATCGTCGATACGGTGCGGAGCAATCGTCAGAATTTTTTCGAATTGTTTTTCTGCCTGTCCAAAGTCTTTTTTCATCATAATCACACAAAGAATTGGTTCATAGGTAAAGGACCGACCATGTAAATGATACAAGGCACATGCCCGTAGACTCATGACCCATGCACTGTCACGAAAACAGTCATCTCCGAGAAGACGGTCGCACATGGCCAACTCATTTTCTGACGGGCCGTGAAGTTCGTTCATCGTGCGGATTTGAAACATGAGAATGAGGGGATGGGTTGCAGGAAGGGGCAATAGCGGAACAAGTGCTGTCAACTAACGGTCATCAAAAAAAGGCAAGCTTTGACGTGCTCTCAACCGACCTCGTCACCATCACCCACACAACTGCACAAGAGGGTCCATACCGACCAGTTCCAGTGGTAGCCACTGATGGACCGTATGATACTTTCAATGGCTTCCTCTCGACGGTTGAGTCGTGCTAAGAAAATAGCTCTCCTAGAAAAATGAAAACAAAGATTCTATGGAGATGGCACGAGAAGCTTGCGTCCGTGAACTTACAGGAAAAGAAGCCAAGGATCTGTGGCGTTCTTGACCATGTCCAGAAGAGTCGTGAGCAGACGATTTATAGGAACTGGGGGTTGTCCTCGAGTATCTACCAATAATAGGTTTCGAAAAGCATGGAGGACGCCATGAATATAGACTCACTATTTTGTCTGTACCAGTTTCGCTGCGCTTTTCGTTCTGCAGCCTTCAATGAACATATCAGCTGTTGTTAAAGGTCAGGGCTTGGTGACAAACCAAGAAACAACTATACACATAAATAAATTGTGCTTTGGCACTCTTGCAATTTTTCAGGGTGAATTCGACTCTTGTAAATTCTTTTGCTGTCATAAAAGCTCGAGCGGCAAATAAGGCAGCTTCATCCTGTAATTCCAACTCGGTTTCTTGGGCACGGACGTCAGGGAAGTGTGACGGAAGGTGGGGTTGGTTTCCAGGAGTAACAGGCATGCATAGTGCAGCACTGGAAGTAGGCGATTGATCTCCAAAGGATAATGATGGTCTAGGAGACCGAGAACACGCAGGAGTAGATGTTGAAAAAGTGGCAAATGCCTCAGAAATCAAAGCGTCGCGTTTGATTGAAGGGATGGCGTAATATAATTCAGAGGACCTAAGAAATAGAAAGATCTCAAGTCAGCCGCATTCAATGCATCAGCAGCCACAAAAAAATACCATTTAGATGCAACTGACAGCCCTCTTTCTGTACAATCTTGGATTGACTGCCGCAATTCGGTAACAAGTCTGGCATCCATCAGAGGTGCTGGAGGTGTCATGTTACCGCTGGCCGATGTCAACTCGGTTAGAGAGCCTGAAGAAATGTCTGAGCCGAATCGACCGTCAGGGATAAGATCGCGAACTTAGTTCCTTATGGAACAGACTCGGATATGCGGAAAGAGTAACGTTCGAGAAAATCTAAAAGAACGCCAAGAACAAACTCAATATGCAAGCTGGAGATAATTTGGGCACAGCAGAGGAATACGAAGGTGAGAATTTTGAAAGATCAGATACTGATGAGATACGGCCTTCCAGCTGCTCCTACTTGTGGCATAGTCAGAGTGAGCTGTTCAGTCCAAGTACACATACGCTCCCACGCTTTTACCGGGTAAGTAATCTGTAGTAATTTACGTGCCGAGCCAACGCCTCCGATCTTCAACGTCAACGACGTCAACCTCAACAAACTGAAGCCTAATAATTGTTTTAGGCTCGACAATCTACGAGATCCTTCTAACTTGAAATATCCTGCTCCTCAGCCTGACGGAAATCTATTCGAACTTTCCCTCTGTTCGAAATTAACCTTCAGCGTGCAACTTGTAACCACCGCTAGCAGAATCAGAGGTGTACCATGTCTAGCTGCGCAACAGTCTTCTTGTCATTGCTCTTGTTATTCTGTGTCAGGTCATTTTTCGTCATATTTTCATACAGGCGCATCAAGCCTGCCTCGGCAAACCCCAGGCCTCCACAGACCTGCAGCATTGCTATTTTTCTTGGTTCAGGTAAAGCCGAGCATCTATTTACTGGTCCTCCAGGCCAGCTTGACCCTGTCGGTTGTAGGGGGGCATACCAGTGAAGCATTGAAGTTGGCTTCTGCGCTTGATTTCGGTCGTTACTCTCCACGGACTTACATAGTCAGTGAAGGCGATGCGCTTAGCGTACAAAAAGCTTTTGCTTTGGAGCATATTAAGGCCGCGGACCATGCTTTCTCCGACGTACGGAATTTCTCGAAACTTTTCAAAGCCTCCGGATCTGACTTTTTAAAATAGGACCAACCGCAGTATGAGCTTCTGACCATACCCCGTGCGCGTCGCGTGCATCAGTCACTGCTTAGTACACCACCAGATGCCATCAGATCATTACTAGCTTGTATGTATCTCGTCTTAGTGCGCCCATTGTTGAAGAAAGGGGCGTTCCAGCAACCATTTGTGGATCTTTTGATCCTCAATGGTCCGGGAACATGTGTCATTTTATGCACGGCGGTTCTTCTGAATAGGGCAAGTTCTAGATTTCTTTTAAGACATCCTCGCATAAGCTGATTCGTGATTTTGCATAATCGATCTAAATCAGCTTATCGGACTACCTAGCCCACGGGTAATGTACGTTGAGTCTTTCGCCCGTGTCAAGTCTCTGTCGCTTTCTGGAAAGCTGCTCTATTATTTTACCGATTGGTGAGATTGTCGTGTTGTCTGCAGCAAAAATAACTCATCTGCCTTCTAGCTTCATAGTCCAGTGGCCAGATCTGACGCAGCCCGGCAGTCGAAAAATTTATCGTGGATGCCTTGTATAATTTTTACACGGAATACAATAATTGTTATTTAATCAATGAGACTCGTTGTATTTGACCGTCGAGCCACTTGCAGTCGTCGTTGACTGGTCCTGACTACTTGGCTCCAAAGCTGACTCCCCATTTATTACATCTCCTCCATTACTACTTTCCCAAACACTGTGTGTCACGACATCGCCGAAGAACGTTATTGCTCCCCTACTTGCTTGGCAGTGTTCGTACGTCATTATTGCTCACTAGGGATTCAGTCCATTAGTTCACGAAACCACATCATGACTGGCTTCCAATCGTTTCGGTCAGAAGTCTTGAATGCCGGAGTGATGAAACTAGATTCACATATTGTCCACAAGATGGACAATTGAGAACTACGCCTAGCTGAGCCACGTTCAAGGCATGAGGACAAGCACAGGTTTACATAAAAGCTTCTTCTACTTTCTTGTCCAACGATCTTCCCCATTACTTCCGCCTCTTCTGGATGGGCTAGCACTCCTGCCACGACCGCCCTCCCTTCTGCTCGGTTCCCACCCACCACCTCCACCTTCCATTTTAGCAGGGTGAAGTCTCCTCTCTAGTCTTTGTCCTGCGCGGAGAGACGAAACCAGTTCCTTTGAGGCAAGGCGGAGATGCATGAAATTACAAAAACCTCCACGGTTACATTCACCGTTCTCATTTTGGCGACAACACGCTTCCCGGAAGTCCGTTACAGGAGAGAGTTCCGCATATAGCGGGCGTCCTAATAGGCGAAAGTTAGGTGAATATCCCGGCTATGAAGAATTTCATGACCGACCTGCATACCACCGATCGTTTAAATTGTCTACAGCAGCTTGCGCCTCGGTCTCCCACTCGTACCGAGCGTAAACGTTTCCAATTAGATGGTCCCCGACATTATCACAAACCTGATAGAGTTTAATCCATGAAAGTGTTAGATTAAGGATAGTTACTTACATGTAATTCCAACAAATGTCCAAATTTTGCTAATTCGCAATACAAATCTTCATATACGGCATCGAACCCTTCTTGTAGCTCAGCCTCAGTGAGCTTACAAACCGGATCATGGGCGGGATTATGGTACACGTTTGGAAGTAGGATTGTTTGCGAAAATGGTGGCCTTATGTGCTTTCTCGAGCATCTGTCGCCATGTCTGCAAGCACCAATCTAAGCATTGACTGTGATCAGCACGACTGTAAGCGACTGTGAATCACAACGTACTTTGTAGTAGAAAGAGCAATTTACACGATCTTGCTCTGTTCCGAAGATATTTGCCTGGACAGTGTTTAAAGATGTAACTGGTGGTCATAAATTATTAATGCTCACCAAGTGAGATGCCATGTTTGATGATACGGTTCTGCTTGGTTCGTTGCAAGGAACGACGAGCGCAATGTGAACTCAAACAGTGACAAAAGAAGCTCGCGGAGTCCAAAAAGTTCTTGATGAGTCAGCAGTCACTATTCAGAACGAATTGACTTTTAAGCAACCAACTTGAAGTCCGAGCACTAGTAAAAACATATAGCACAGACACATTGATTCCAGCGGCTCATATTTGCACTCATACACATGTAGCCATCTGTTTCAGCTCACGTCGTGGGCGCGTGACGGTGACGTTAACTGCCGCATCAGTATTTGTTTGTCTTGGGAATTCAGACGTTTCTCAGCGATTTTGCGGCTCAAGACGGTGTAGCCTTGTTTCCGCTTTGGCTGTCTGTGTTACTAGACACGTCCAACGACTCTGGGACTCAATACTCTGCACCAGACTCGATAGCCAGTTGACCTCAGATGACATAACGTTTCATCCTTTCTGATTGGAACCTATGCTCTCCAAGTCCAAGGGACCCATTGATCTTCTAGATAAGGTAGTCTTCTTGCTTCCCTGACATATGCCTGACTGATGGAAAATCCATGTTGAACGGAGCAAGTGTCTCTCGCCTAATAGAGATACACAAATTTTCAAACCCCTGTCATTGAGAAAGGCGATTGCCGTCGTCGTTTTCTCGCACGACCTCACAGCCGCTGTTGAGAACATTCTACCTCCAGGGTTTGGAAACTTCCTTGCGGCCCGCGACGGTGTTGCAGTGACGTTTTGACCAGTCAAGACTCTAGTTGTTGCTTTAAACAGTGTCAACGAACAAAATTACAAGGCGTCCCTGCTAACAGATTACAGCTATACTAAATCGCTCACCAGGAAGCTCTGAGACATCCTGTGTTCAGTTTGAGAAATATTGATTTATTAGTAGGAGGAAATTCTAGGGGACGGATGTGTATGGAACATGAATGCATTGGAGCGTGACGGACTTGATACAAACATCTAATATAGTTACAGAGATCGTATTGTTCGTCAGTATATTGTACAATGCCCTAGTAGCATTCGTCACAGTACGTAAGGGGCGTTTCACAATTCTACAAGCAAGAAAAGCTAAAGAGATCAAATAATCGTGACTACAAATTAGTCAGCCATGTCGTGAATGGTCCCATAACATAAAGGAGTCTTCACAGATAGGTGATGGATCCGACACGGATGACATAATGTCCCAGGAGCGAATTCCCTGCAGAGTCTGTGGAGAGACTGTCGGAGCAGGCATGGTGCGCCCCGATGCTGTATCAAAAGTAGATGATGGTGGAATGAATTTACGAGAGAACGGAGGTTGTTGAGGACATATTTGGTCGACATCGGTAGGTGGTGTAGTGATATTGCCTAGTGTCATCCTGTTGAATAATGATAAGCTGATGTAGAGAGTAACCGCGGGTATACTCACGTAGCAAGAGCATCAAGCTCCACAATTCGCTGGTTAAGGGTACAATTATTAGATCCAAGATGGTGATAAGCCGACCGGCTCAGTATGTGCGCGGCTTTTCGCAAGCGAAGAGAAAGCTCGAGCACTACATTGTAGCTCGATCCTTCAGTCAGACAGCTACAATGATCGTGTGGAGAACTGTCGTAGCAGTGATTAGACCTGCAGGTATCGTCAAGATTATCGGCAGTAACGTTATGTTCCAGGTTATTTTCATATCCAATGAAACCCGGATACGACATGAACATAGAGGCAAATTCGAATTCTCCGGCCAGCGGTTGCTCTCCCACAACAAGAGCTCGACTTTGCGTGTACTCATCGGTTGGTGTCATTATAGAAGGAGAGGGTGTGCTCAAGGGAGTTGATATGTTACTGAAGTAAGGAGAGAATGATGATGTGTTTGTCAAGTCGGCAGGTGGTTGGGGAAAAGTCAAGGCAGAACGTGCGCGTAAAGGGGATACAAGTTGAGGGGGCGGACATGACTCATCCCTAGGGCCTAATGCCGAACAAGCTGTGCGAGATGGAGAGGTGCTTTCTGGCTCGGTTTGTTGTTCGGTCTGTTGTTGCTCGGTCTGTCGTTGCTCGGCAGCCGAACGAGACTGAGAACGGGCATGCCACTTCTCAAATTCTACTTCTGGGGTGGAACCCGCTTGGACCCAGCGAGGGTGGGGCTTGTTCTTCAGCTGTTATGAATATTTGAGCTTGATAACTCTTTCCTCTCGTATGAGCATACAAACCTCACGTATCACTCCCTCGAGCTCGGCAACTCGTTGACGAAGATGCGAGCCCTCGTCTTGAATGTCGGTTCGTTGGGAAGGATCATCCACTTCGTAGACACAAAGGCCGGTCTATACGGCGCTTGCTATCAGACAATGATATCACATGCTTCATGTAATGACCTCACCAGACCTAGCTGTGTGCAGCGGCCACAAGGACGCTTCCGGTCGCACTGTCGCACAAATGTAACTTCGGAACTGCTCCTGAGAGGACGTACTAAGTTTGGTACGTACCATTCTCTTGGATGTGTGGCAATTAAGACATGACTGAGTTGTACGATTGCGTCGACGCTTGCGATGGTCTCCGTCAGAAGTAGGGTTAGCCTCTGCAATGGTCCGCTTTTTGCGAGTAGCCTGAAGTTCTGTGGTCATGATAAAATCTAGGGAGGGGGGGAACGATGCCGAGCCTAGCTTCATGAAGATGATGGGATGGGATATTTGTAGTTGCTTTTCAGTGCCTTGTTTCGGCGTCCCGAAAAACTTAACTGTCGACGCAAATCGTAATGGAAACCCGTCACAATGATACGGGCGAGACGCTAAATCTGATAAGGTCAGGAAGAATAGACGAGGTGGCGTTGCGCCAATCTTCCCATCGAGATAGAAAGATCAGAACACAAATGGCCACAAAAGGACGTGAGAGCCGCATTAAGAATGACTACATGTCGTGCACGCGGTTGTATAGATATCCGAGCGTGACGTTAACCACTGGTTACTGTCGGAAGCAGACTGGAGCGAGAAAAGGCCTAAATCCGCTCCGAAGACCTGACTTTCGGAACTGGGTGTAATGACTTGGCGGCAGACCCAATACGGACTCTATTACGTAACTTCTCCGGCAATGATTGATTGCAAGCTTGTTCACTTATTACCTTCGTCAGCTTGGTGAGCGCTTTAGCGACAGTTCTGTACACACGCTAGCACAGCCTACTGCGGCGCCCCATCAATCCCGTCTGCTCCCCTCGCAGGTTAGGCCCCAGGTTTTATGCGTACTACTTAATATATTTTTGCTGTAACCTGGTGGTGGGCTCTCTTTGAGGTCCCCAGGTTAGACCGTTTGGTCACTTTGGTGCGCACTCGCAGCTCGTTATCTGATACTTGTTATTGTTCTGTTGAATGGTCTCGACTGTCGAACAATCATACCAAGAGTCTTAATCTTTCTATTCACGACTTGCGTTTCAGTAGCGCAGACAGTGTTTATGTAGATTATGGAAATCTGGTAAGCTAGCGTGCTTACAGTACCCTGTGGTTATTGACCGGCACATCAAGCTTTTAGTATCATGATCACTGCCTTTTGGCGTAACGGTTATGTGGACTACAGTCTTGGCTGAGTCACAGGATCTTTCAAATTGCGTTGCAATATTATGGTGAGTCCGATTTTCCAAGTTGGTAGACGGCGTCTTGGCGTTTTACTTCTTATGATAATCCCTATGAAGTTGCACTGTCTGACGTGAGAATTATTCTGTAGTTTCAGACAAAGGATCTCGAATCCACTTACCGCATTCTATCAGAGTTGTGTGGGCTTGCTCCCTTTACCGTGATGGTCGGACACGTCAACTGGCAAGTTTCAGATTACTGCTTTGATTCAGCGTTTCATTTTTATCTTATAGGGTACAAACTTGAATGCGCCTTGAAGTGGAGGTCATTTTACTGCACTCACGTACCACAAATTCCAGGCGACATAAATTGGCATAAGATATATCGATCGATCAGGCTAGGACTCAGGTTGTGATAACACTGGATCGCATTCATCCAACATCAGCACCTTGTATTTGACCCTGTACTGAGTATAGTCTCTTACAGATGATCAATGATCAGTCGATCCCGTGGGCTCGTCGGCGTCGCGGCATTACTTTGATTGACACGTGTGCCCGGAAATTTCTTGGGTGAGCAAATAAATCCTTGGAAGTGCATGATTACGGCAATTTTTAGGTTCCATTCACTGTTACTTGAGACAAGTCCTGCAGAATATTAATTACAATCATTTTACTTGCAGTCTTGCATCACCGCCCTGTTGTTCGGAGTTGGAGTCGTACGCCCGAAATTTTCTTCGGTGAGTAAATGAGCGCTCGAGATGCGTGTTTTCAAGTTCAAACAGTAATAATTCCTTGCCAGTTGATGTCTTATTGTGACTCGACTATGTTTGTTGGCACACTGCGGCACGAAACATTGTCTTCGAGCATGGCGATAAGCGCGCGGCTGTGCAGACGGTGGTCGATAAGGTCAAGAACACGGTCCTCCCAGTCACAGGCATTTTCTTATTGTGGAGTGCTTCCCCTACTCAAAGTGTTTTTTCCGGCTCAGGATACTGCAGTACGATATTGTCGATGCCACCTATCTGAAGAGATTTTTGGTATACACTTTAGAACTTCTTCAATCGTCTTATCTACGTTTAATTAAACCCAGGTGAACTTTGGACTCGTAATTGCTGTGCATAAGATGTCGTATAGTTCTGCAACCTGATACTCTAACCACGTTTATAGTGTCCACTCCATCCAACCGACTAGTTAAATGATAACTGGAATTTTGCACATTTGAAATAATCAGAATTCTCCCTTGCACTGCAGAGGGAGAGCCACTTTTTCACCGCGATAAATACAGCTTTCTCTTTGCAAATTTATAATTTTTCTGCCGCTAACAGGTAATTTATGTCCCGCACTGTATGCGACTTGATATGTTATTCATGCATTTCTTCTCCTCCCTCTGTTTATTTTGTTTGTTTCTGGGTAAAGTGACTACACTACCATCTATAGTTGTATTGTCGTGGCAGGGGTATCATAACGAGCAAAAAAATCATCTCATCTTCGACGAACTGCGCATCTCAAACGTACGACCGGCCAGAACGTCGGACTGGTAGTGTGCGTCCCACACCAGGGCATTTTCAATTGAGAGATGCCCTTAGACTATATTGTATTGTCCTTCATAGAGTATGCTCTCAATAGGACATTTAATTGGAATAAAAAGACTCTCATTCCTGTCTTGTCAATAACTCCTTTCAGACATGGGTCTCTGCCTTGGCACACTTTTCTAATGGTTGTACTTACATATGAATCTTGCGCCATCGTATCAAGATTATTATCGAAGTGGTGACCGGGGCCTCGAGTGCATCAGGTGCATGCGATCGTTATTTTTGACTCGTCAAACTAATCCTATCTAGGAGTGACGATTAGAGCGGCGTGCTTACCGATAGCGCTATCGACGCCATAACTTTACCGTCAGCAAAGCGACAGCTCGTCGCCCGAACGCTGCAGTAATGGACACTCGGCTCCACTTAGCCCCTGAAGTCCTAGTAGCTAGAAGTTTAGTCTGAGCTCACAGTTTGTTAAAACTTAGGTGAACGGAGGAAGATGGCCGTTTTCAAGAAGTCTTCGAAAAAGATTCAGCTTCTTGCTGCAGATTTCTAGATATACTGATGCTAGAACATAAGCGGCAGAGTTCTCGAGAAACACTCTGGGTTAAAGGGGCCGGGGCCGCTCGGCAGTGTGGCCGAAGTGAATCTGGCCTTTCTGACTGCGTGGAAGAAACCCGTACCGCACGTTCAGCTGAGTGGCAACTTGAATCGACTCAGAGTCTTACTATCGCGCTTGCTCATTATACACACCAAGCGTTGTCGCTACTACTGACTGCAACGATCTTTCGTCGAGTTTTAATTTATTTAAGCAAGTTGAATCAATGCTCGCACGCGGGTTTGGCCGAGTCTTGGTCTGTGCGCATGCTTCTTGTAGATACATTTATTTAGTAGTAGATACATTACTGCTTGCCAGTGGTGATTCATCCTGTAGTCTTTGAATTGATTAGCCCCCTCTTTTCGTGATCCCACAATTAGTAGCGTTGGAACCGAGCTGACACACGCTTCTGGTGGATAGACATCGTTGCAGGGGAAGCTATAGAGTCATGAATTAAATAATTAGAGCGTTAGACTGTATGTATAAATAAGGGAATAGATTACCCTCTTCTCACTTATGTAATTAGGAACCATTTTATTACATAATTTCTGACGCCTGTATTAAGGTTCTCCATATCCGGAATTCTTATCTTGCTGCATTCTTGCAGTGGGGCTTCCAGACTTTCTCGATGTCACAATTCCTCGCCCACTCCGCCAAGATACCTTACTATAGAAATCTAGGTTACCACTCAAGAGAACGGGCTCGCGATATGTCGATCCCAGTGAGTTCAAAATCTGTACATATATTAATGCAAGTGGGTACTACAACACTATGCACAATACTTTCGGTGATGCGGTTTTAAAATTTAGATGCAAAGACCGTCCGCGCGGTCAGTTCATACATGCACACCTTATTGACAACACTAGTTAATCCCCTTTGATACACGTTGTTTTCTAATACCATACTGACCGATTATTTGCACACTGGCCAAGTCCGATTCCAGCAAATTCAAAACATAGTACTGTTAGAAACCGCTGACCGGTGAATGAGAGCAGGCGTCAAGACGCACATGTACTGTGGGTACAAATGGCTAATGTCGTCTTAGGAACATCCACAGCTATCAATAAAATGCGTGCGATTGAAAAGTGTATGTAAAATAAACACCCATCATAGGTTCCATCCACTAGCTTGCTGAGTAGGACTGCCCCAGCCCTGTTGAGTGGATGTTCCCCAAGCACTCCCGGATGCTGTTGCATTCGGACTTGAAGCTCCCCATGTTTGAGCTGGACTCGTCCCCCAACTAGCACCAGGAGCTCCTCCCGTGTTTTGCGCAGGACTTGTTGCCCATGCACTAGTATTTCCCCCAGTATTTTGTGCTGGGCTGGTGCCCCAACCACCGCCGCCGCCACTAGTAGCCCAGCCGCCGCCACCACCCGCGGGACTTGCATATCCAGCACCAGAGGCGGCAGTCTGACCCCAACCGCCACCACTCGGTTGAGGCGCCCAAGCACCAGTGCTCGAGACATGACCATTCACACCACCCTCTGCCGTATCTCCACCAGTCGGCAAGTCCAATCCTTCCTTCAAACCAAGTATTAGATTTGCAAGTTTTGTCTGCAACTCCGCCAGACCCTGTACCATGGGAGCGGAGGAAGAACAGAGGCATGTGAGTTTGTTGACCGCACTGAAACACAGATGATGGGACCCGCACCTTCATGATAACTTCCTGCGGCCCAAGGCTTCCATCCGTCTCAACATCGAAATAAAATTTTCTTGGCTTCGCATGGAAGTCGAAAACTTCGTCATCTCTTGGCGCCTCTTCTTCCTTCGCATTTTCACCAACGGGCCACTCCGTGCGTGGATCTGCTTCATGCCAATATGTCGTGTGCCGCAATTTATTGTAGGGATCGTATTCGAACGCAACTGCTGAGCATGGTGACCACTTTGCGTGCTCCTTTGCTATACCCTGTTAAACCTGTGAGATCATAAGAACTACCTGAAAGTAGCTGCGCACCTTTTTAGCGACACATCGTAATTTAAGCTCTTGACCCTTCCGTATTTTGCAAATGAGGACTGGTGGTATGTCTGCCTTATCTGATTAACCCCGAAAATAAGCACATGAATCCATCAAAAGAAGTAGGTTATACTTTTGCCCACCGGTTGCCCAAAATCTTCTCCCCTTTTCGTGAGCTCGTCACCAGGATTTTCTCCCTCGGTGTAGGTGGGCGGTATGACCTCAAGATGGTTGCTAGTGACATCCATCGTGCGATTATCATTGCACGAGACGTCCAGTCTTAGCTCTATTGAGCAATACTGGCAACCGGAAAGACACAAGCAGTCCTGTACAACCATTGTGAGGTAAACTAGGGGTGACAGCGCGCAACGTACTCGAGTGTATCTTATGCCTTCATCGCAGTTTGCGCTCACTAACGGGACCATTCCAATACGATGTGCTATGAATTCATCGGGTAGCACTGTTGTATTTGCTTCGATCTCGACCATGTCGACGGCTAGGGGAGATTAGTCAAGGCGCGCAGTATGACGTGTTTAAGGATACAGACCGATGGTTGGTATGTCGGCCTGTACTACACGTCGAAAAGAGTTTGCAAATCTGTGCATTTGTTCAGCCAGGTTCATCGCATGCAGATGCTACGCGTACGCGAGGTCGACATTCTCAAGTACGAAATCAACTCGGTCTTGCTTGTAATCGCGTATTCGGACAATGGGCTCGTTGTCCTCGTATGTCTGCATGATTGGTTGTAGAATGGAAGGACTTTAATCAAGTATTACAGTCGTGGTTTGAGGTAAGCGGCATCTGAGCAAAACTCAATGCACAGAGAACATTTGAGGAAAGAGGACCCCGTGCACCCAACAGTAGTATACACCAAAAAGATAAGCACAGTATTAGGATATGTTCAAGCTTAAAGCTTCGCTACGATCCTCTGCTCCTCGTCTTTGATGTGCACAATGACCTTGCCCCATGTCTGTCGTCTCTCCAGTGCATCCAATCCTACAACGACCTCGTCCAGGGAGAAGATCTTGTCATATAGTATAGGTTTAATGCGACCAGAAGCAAACAGCCTCCAGTTGATGTCATTGACAGGCGAGCGACCTTGAATAACGCGTATGTTACTTACCTTAGCAGTTCTTCCCATACTATGGGAATGCGAGATGGTTCCTTGTCTGTACAGGTATCAGGCTCTGTCTAAACCTCGAGGTAATATAAGACCTACAGGTATACAAGCCCCAGTGGATGCCCATGACACTGATATTCTTCAGTAGTACTATGTTTAGCGGAAGCTGCAGACGCGTTCGGTAGGCAGTGATGAATTCACCGCAGACAGTGCATACCTTTTCGATCTGGCCTGCAGCGAAGCCGACCACGAGGGCTCTCCCTTTGAAGGCGATGCACTTTAATGATTCTGACAGAAGTGAGAGTTGTACTTCCAGATCCTACCCATGAAAATGGCATTCACCAGCAATTCGCCCAACCGGATCATAGACAACATCTACGCCTTTGCCACTGGTTATTTTCAAGACATCTTGCTGCCAGTCCTTTTCTGTGTAGTTTACCGTATAATCAGCTCCTCCGTATGTCTTACAAATCTCAAGTTTAGACTGTGATCCAGCTGCTGCAATGACTGTAGCACCCAGTGCTGATGTATACGGTAAATTAAAGGACGGGAATCCATTTTTAAAGGGGACAAACCTTTGGCCAATTGAACAGCAACAATGCCAACACCGCCGGCAGCTGCATTGATGAGAACGGTTTCACCTAGAACGGATGGTTAACATATGAGCGAGTCATGCTTGATGACTGGATCCACCTGGCTTGAGCTCTGCACGACCAACCAGAGCCTCATAGCTAGTCGGCCATGTAATGTATAATCCTAGCACATGTGGAAGTTCGGGTGAGTGACGGTAGTTCGTGGCTCAACACACCTGCACCCTGATCGAAAGTCAAATTATCCGGAAGCCGATTCGCAGCCTGCCATTTAACAGCCACTTTATCTGCAAAGCATCCTTGTGCTTGACCAAAGACTCTGTCGCCAGGCTTGTAGGGACAACCATTTGGAATTGGAGAGCCTTTGGCAACTTTGCCAGCGAACTCCGCACCAAGGGTGAAAGGAAATGGAGGCTTAATTTGATATTTTCCTTGAGCTTGCAATATCTGATAGCGTATAAGAATTAAGTAAGAGAACAACTGGCCACATTGTGGAGACGATGCATCTCACGTCGAAGAAATTCAGAGCTGAGGAGTATACATCCACGATTATCTCATCCGCTGTGGCTTCTGGTTCTGGCGCATCGTCGACAAGCTTGAGCTGGGACGGATGGACCCACTTGTTTATCACGTATGCACGCATGGTTAAGAAAGCTGTGACGACAAATAGAGAGTTCAAGGCATTGAGAGGTGTAAACCTGGTTACTTGAAGTAACCGATGCTACCGGTCGTCCTTCCACATGGTAGGGGTGCCAGAGGTCTGTATCTGGAAATTTCCCAAGTCGGTTGCAACCACGTGCTGTTTCCAGTGATATGTTTACTAATTGATCCCTAACCCTGTCTACAGAGGCCTAATGTTCTAAAGCTCGCAATATTTAAGTTCAAGGTATTATATATGATAACATCCACCTAACAATAGCAAATATTCTATGTCTTCTATGTCTAAACGTGAACAGAAAGAGTCTACTGATTAACACGCCAAATCGCTGCCATGTAAAGTAGAATCAGGTGCACCACTGTCTATGCGAGGCGATAAGAAGTCAATTGATCACTAGATGACGATAGCAGTGGAAAGAGGGCAGCAGATGCGGAATCTCGTAAGATATGAGGAATGGGGACAAATGGTTGAGCAAGGTAACGAAGAGTCGATTAAGCATCTGCAAAGCGCTGGGTAAGGTAAGAGACCGATCAATTATAGGACAGAGATAAACGAGGCATTTTACAGAGGGAGATGGAGCGACAGTAGACGTGCAATTGAAGTCAGTTGCGGCGCAGGCGGAAACAGCACGTGGGCAACGTGCAAAGTCCCCCAGCCTATGCCTAGGCTCGTTTCTTCAATAGTGCAGCATATGCTCGGAGTTCGCGGACGAGTGACCGGAGCTGGGGCATACGGGGCGTATCATCGAAATCTGTGAGTGAATCCACATCCATGTCATCATCCCACTTGTCACCACCATCTTCGCTCTGGTCTTCATTGCTAAACTCAGATTCGTCAGCCTCAGATGATGAAACCATTTCCTTGTTAGCTAAGAGTGAGGCAGCAAATTTTGAGCCTTTGCTGAGTTTGTTGGAGGACGATAAAGCTGCAGTGGAAGTGGATGCTGACGTGTGGATGTTTGAAAACGAGATTGCATGGGAGGTCGATGTGGATGATGCACGAGAAGGTAAGGCTGATATAGGTCGCAGTTTTGACTTTTCCGAGGAACTGGAAGGCGCATCAAGTCCAGCTTTCCACTCGACCCACTCCGCGAGCTTGAAGATGTCTACAGGATTTGAGAAGGCGTACCATCTGGGACATTCAGTCTTCGTGTTCCGTGGCTTCCTGTCGTCTTGATCCTCGTCCGATTCAGAATCAGGGCCGGACTCAGACTCGGAATCTGAACAATCCTCATCCTGTGGCGTGTCTATTCTCTCTTCAACTCCTGGTCGCACGCCCCACACAGCTATGAACCAGCTCCATCGTTTGTGTAACGCACGTTCTGATAGGGAGGGGGGAGTCCACGTCGATCCTGACTTGGCTTTATGGCTCTTAATCTTGGCGCCTCCGTCTTGTTCCCCAACTTCGATATTAGAGGTAAGGTACTCGCGTGAAGCGTCTCTCTCTCCTCGTCCTGGCGTCAGAGCCCAGTATACTCTGCCTTCCGAGTCCCGACCTAGTGGTATGATGCGCTGTGCACAGGAGGATGAGGCGAGCGTCAGGGCTGTCTGGGGGGTCAGTGTATACGTTGGTGTGTCCTCAAAATCATTCGAGTCCTTCTCTTTCTCCTGGTCGTCTTTCTCCTTTTCCTTGTCCTTGGCACTGGCACTTCTTTTCCCCTTCGTTTTCCTATCTTTGGCCTGCGCTTTCCTATCCTTGACCTTCTGCTCTGTCTCCGCTTTCTTCTTCTCCTTTCTCTCTTTCTCAGCCCGATCAAAAGCTCTCTTCATCTCTATACTTTGCCTCGCCAATTCTTTCGCATCCTTCGCACCTTCTTCTAATGCATCCCTGACCGCCTTTCCTTGTAAAGCATGGTCTACAAGGACACTGACAACAGGTATGAGTTGTGAGGTACGGACTACTTGGGGCCAGTCTGTCTCCTTGGCCGTTTCTTCGGCATGAGACGAATTGCGGGTGGATCGGGTTCTAATGATGGGCGCGTTCTCAAGGAGGTGTTCAGGGGCGGGCGTAGGAGACGGGAGAGCGAGAGAAGGGAGGGTCCTCAAGGTGCTTAGAGTCTTAACAATCCTGAATAGGAATATATGTTGATGGAGCGCGTTGGCTGTTGTGGAGAGGATCTGTCGGGGCAACCGGAATGTTGAGAAAGAAAAAAAGAAGGGAAGCAGAAGACTGGAACACACCTTGGTATCTACTTCGATCATGCCTAACAATGCAATCAGTAGTGCTTTCAAGCATCCATCTGAGACCCAATGTTCTAAATCACCGTGCTCCACATCGTCATCCAAATGTCGTCGACAACGGGCGAAAACCTCGAGCTCATCGTGGTGTGAACGTGACAGAGGGAGAAAACGAAGTGCAAATTCACGGATGTAAATGCGGACTTCCGCTCCTTGCAAGGAGAGTTGAGTACGGATCGGTGTCCAGGGAGCTTTGGGAAGAGATTTCTGAGGTGGAATCGGTGCAAATGTGGATATATGCGCGGGATCCTTGGTAGATCTGGACTTGGAATTACTAGTTACGCTTACAGTACGCTGAAGCGCGGATTTGGCTGTTCTCGACTTCTCAGCGACAGGTTTACCTGCCATTGGGCCCTGTGCTCATATCAGCATTCGGAGGTTAGGACTAATATGGACACATACGCCTGTAGCTGGATCTTGCGGGAGAAGTTCTGCGGCTGACTGGAGTCCTGATTTACGCGTTGCGACAGTGAGCTTCCTATGTGGTGATTAAGTTAGTGAGGTCATGGTGTAACGCGCGGTACCAACCCCGTGGGCTGAAGGCCCTTTGACTTTCGGCAGTGAACGCAATTACAGATCTCCTCGCATCGGGGGCACCTAAACGAGCCCAAGCAAAGATAGAAACCACGCATACAATCTAAGCGCATATACGAGCATTAGAGTCATCACGCACTTGAAAAAGTACCCCTCGCCCGATACGTGCCGTTTTCTCTCGGCTGTTGGGACAGTACCGGTGGACAAGATGTCCTGAAGCGCGAGTCCGTAGCGGTTCTTGAGACAGGGGCCGCAGTACTTGGTGTTGCACTGTCGCTTAGATTTCGCATCTTCGCGCGTGCAATGGACGGCGAGCGCTGCGTCGCGCTTCTTGCTGCATTGGTGACAATAAACAAAGCCGTTTGGGAAGTCGGAGGTAGCGTTCGGGAGAGGACGGCGCGTAGCGGTTGGCTGGCTAACTGTAGTGTCAAGCTTTGATCTCTTTTCCGGCTTGTCAAGGGTCTCGTCTGTTTTGCGTTTGAATGACTTGTCCGTGGTGTTTTGAGACATGGATGCACGCAATGTGTTTTCTTTGCGGTTGGACACAGTGCGCGTAGGGTCGCTAGGAGCTGGTATACTAGGCTTATGCATCGCGGATGAAGGAATTTCGACGAAGACTTGAGATAGACGCCTTACGACGCTTTTTGGCTGGCCTGCCATTATTGATGATGATCGTGGTTCTATCGGACAAGACGCGTACAATAAACAAATGTCTTTATTGCTTTGGTCACATGATTGCACCCTGGCACGTACACGGGTTTTTTTTATTCGAGGTTTAGGCCTCAACTGACCGCTTGTTCCATATAAACAATACAATACGATTTAATCCTGAGCTAACATCTGTAGCAACATGATCACATTATTGACATCCCCAATGATCTGCTGGAATATAGTATAATTGATTAGACCCCAATGTTAGGGCTAAGTGGTAGAATGATCTTCGTAGACGAACCCGCATCATTCGCTCGCAACGTCGAAGCAAATTGGGATACTGGTATGGCAGTAAATGCAATCCCAAGCCAGACATAGTATCTGCAGGCACAAAATGAAATTGGCGCTTTGAGACTTGGACAAAGCTTACCTGTCATATGTTGAAGCCGATGACTGAATGAAAGACTAACTGCCACGAACTGCGGGATGAGAAAGCAGAGCGACGGACTGATGGTTCATATCGCTGAGTACTCCGTTCTTGTGACCTAACGAGGCGGATCTTCATGCGAGGAAGTATGTCATTCGTAGTGCCTGTCAACAGCTTCCCATATATGTTGCCCTCAGATGTGTACAATGCATTGACCCTGATCTTCAATCAATTCAGAGTCAAGAGCACAATCAATTCTGTGGCGATGGGTACCTCAATTTGCTAATCAGATATAGGGACCGAGGGAAAGGAGGGCAGATCAGTAAATGTGCAGGCAAAGTTGTATAGAGGAGAGGAGAAACGAGACGCTAGGCAAACTTTTGGACCAGTACCTTTATAAGGCGTCTCATAGCCTGCGCTTCTCTAGCATAGAAATGCAGGGGAGAGTCTCCAAGCTCACGCTGACACAAGGCCCAGCCTAGACGCGTCAACGATGCATGTTACCTAGTAGTATAATGCTAAAGTGAACCAAGGTTTAAAGCATGAGCCACTGACAAGATATATTTTTCACCTACAGAGAGTCGATTTACAGTCAATCAAATAAAGATGCATTTTAGTTCCTTCGACCTTTTATATAAAGCGTTTTGCAGTATTGATCGTCATTTTTTATACCTCCAACCAATCCAAGAAGTCCGGCGTGAAGTAAGACACAATCAAGGAAGCACCTTCACGACGTCATGTGAGAGCACTGAGAAGCCAATACCTATGTACTCACCTGCACGGACCATACTCTCCGTGGTCTCGAATGCCATTGTTTTGAGATCGTAGACGCCCGCAGCAGCACCAGCATGAACCATCGCGAATTCGCCGCTGACTTGAAAACAAGCGAGGGGATGGTCTGATGCGAGCTGTGCGGCATCCGAAATGATGTCGAGATATGGAAGCGCAGGTTTCACCATAATGATGTCTGCGCCTTCTGCCACGTCTCGTTGCTAGAAAATATGACGATCAGTAGCGCGTTGTGTAAGATACGGAGGGTAAGAGTTACTATTGCACGCCGTGCGAGTCCCTTGGCAGTAGGAGGGAGTTGGTAGCATTTGCGGTCGCCGAACGACGGGGCGCATCCGGCAGCATCGCGGAAGGGGCCGTACAATGCGCTCGCAAACTTGGCTGAGTAACTCATAAGGGTGCATTTGCTGGCTAAGTCGGCGTCAATGAGTGCCTGCTTAATGGCCTTGATGCGGCCATCCATCATGTCACTGGGAGCTACGCAATGGGCGCCAGCCTTGGCGTAGTTGACAGACACTTCTGCAAGACGTAGGACGGATGGCTTAGTGTTGATGGTGCCGTCAGCATGGAGCAGACCGCAATGCCCGTGTGAAGTGTATTCGCACAGACAGACATCACAGGCGATGTACAATGATGGGAATAAGAGTCTGATCTTTCTCACAGCTTGGATGACGGGTCCAGACGGATCGTCTGCTGGGGTGCCACGGCCGTCCTGCAAGATCTATAAGGCCACTGCAGGTAGTTTCACCGGATGAAAGCTCACCTTTTCACAATTCAAAGGCACACCGAAGAGGATGACACTTTTCAGTCCTTTCTTAACCAATGGGCCAAGGAAGGTTTCGAGCTGGTTGACACCCCAGCGACGTTGACCGGGCAGTGAGGGTATGACGACGCTGGCATCTGGATCATCGGTGATGAAGATAGGATACATGAACATTGACTTTGTCAGCTGGCTGCGAGCCTGCCATGAGCGTGCCAGGGGGTGCTGATATCCACCCTGGAGGATTGAACTAAATGAAATTGACATTTCAGAATGAGATCATTGAGAATGAACGTACTCACGAAATATCCATGTCGTTCTGGTCGACGTCAAACGTTGGCAGTTGGACTGTGGCTGAGCGCTGAACTAGCGAGTCCGTCGTCTACGTCGTGGTATGATACCACAAATGATTAATTCTAGCATCCGTACTAGGTCACCGGTCGCATGGGAATTTTGATTCTAGCTCTAATACCTGTTCATTCACTAGAATGTACTAGACCTTCCTATAGACCGTATGCTTCACGAATCATGGGCGATGTACTATCACCTGATTCGGAATGCACAATCGATGGATAATGCACAATGCACTCCAGAGCTCACCACTCTACATATATTTCATTCGGAACAGCTGGTGGACAATTATTAGCATACATTCAATAATACTACCAATTCAAAATTTTAAAATCGGTGCTGTGAAGCCTTCCCGAGATGAAACATTGTGCGAGTGTGCCCAAAATGAGTGATTTTTGGACACTAAATCCAAGATCCACCCAGATCCCATTAACCTATCAACACAGAAAGTTCAAAATATGTGAAATGCACCATCCTGAATCTACTCCAGGTGTTTCTATGTCAATAGGACACCACCACAGCATGCTATTCGCGATTCATGAGCAAAGCGTGACGGTCAGGCTAGATTGGGAAATCACACTCTCGGCTTGGTTGAGTCTCCGCTTTCTTTGCATTCGGCAGAATCGGCACATACCAGCATCTGTTCCTTTGAAGACACCAGAGGACATTGTTACATTACAAGGACAGTCGACCAATGCCAAGGACAGCTCGAGTTTTTCGCAACCGCCCTTCACCACATTCACAACCTCCTCTCACACGCGAGGATCGTGAAAAACGTATCAAGGAGATTTACACAGGACGGCTAAGTGCCAAGTCAAAATCAGAACTGGAGGATATTGCTACTGCTCTTTCGCTGTCAACCGAGGGCACGAAGTCTGAAATTTTAGAACGCATCAAAGGACACTTGGAGAATACTCCCGACCTACGCCAGGACCACCGCTTTTCTGGTCTTTACACATCTCGTGGAAATCGGGCACCCCATGAGTCAAACGGTCATGCTGGATCTTCAAGAATTGACCATACTGCTCCCATTCAAGCTACACCATCTCAGCAGCTCGTTCCAAGCATCAGTCATGGTTGTATTTCACTTACTTCCATGTTTATTTTGTTGCTGATAATGTCTGAATAGCTATGCATAGTAACGGCGCTCCCTTCTCGAGTCAAGCGGCACAGCAAATGAACGGTCCTTTACCCTTCCCCTCATTTAATCCACCACCTGCATACCCACTCCATTATCCAGGTCGCGAGACACGATTCATGCAGCCAGTGCCAGCCCCAGAAGGGGCTCGTCCTCTTCGAACTTCACAAGACCTCCCACCACAGCTACATGCTGGGCCGTCCACTGGCAGATACATGCCTTACCCCCTGCATGGCCTTCCTGCACCATTAAATAGAGTTTCAGCAAATAATGATCACTCAGCACATCCTAGTGTTTATTACTAGATATTATTCCCTCAATGAAATTTGATTTGGAGCTCGTTATTGAAGCTTGAAGTTATGAACGGTGCGGAACACTGGACTTTCATTCGCTTTGCACGCTGTCGGACTGTGAATATCATTGTGTATTGGCCGAGGTGCCGCGCGTGACATAGTGTGACGAAATTGTGCATTTCTATTGTGTTTTCGACACCTCAACTTCCAGTGCTGCCGCTGCAACAAGCTCGCAACAAAATTAAAAAATTCTTGTTGGGCCTAATGCACAGAGACCTAAAGTATACACTACAGTAGATCCGATACGAATATGTGTTGTTGTTGTGTTGCTATTCAGCAATAAGTGTAAATTGTGCATTTCCCGTCGAATGATAGTATTCATGAATCTTTGATGCCGGGTTCTCAACAAATTTTCTTCCATCGATTTCGGTCGAGATTCTCGGGTTTGGACAGAAAATTCCAGCTCCATTGGTGTACGTATCACGGTACTAGTATAAGTCAGTCGGTGGCTGTGATGAATGTCGTGGGAATGAAATTTATCCTACGAGCTGTCACACTCCCCTCAGCTAGCTCATTACTTGTATTTACTCCCTTCCCCCTCCGCTCTCTTCTGACCCTTCACCATGTCTCATGCTGATCACACAAGAGATCCATGGTGCGTAACAAACCAATTATTTGACCAGTACAGGTGATAATTTTGTAAAGTCCATGGGTCATATTGAATGACTTTGGAGGCGCATTTGCTATGGGCGCTGTCGGTGGCGGTATATGGCACGGTATCAAGGGCGCACGAAACTCCCCTAGGGTTAGTTCTCCGTCCTGCTCTCGCATATAATTCTCTCCCTAGTCAAACCGCAACGAACGTCATTGACTTGGACACTCACAGGGTGAACGTTTGGTTGGTGCTATATCTACTATCAAAGCACGTGCCCCAGTTACGGGTGGTAACTTTGGCGTTTGGGGAGGCATGTTCTCCACTTTCGATTGTGCCGTGAAAGGTTGGCGGCAAAAAGAGGATGCTTGGAACGCCATTATTTCGGGGTTCATGACGGGTGGATGTTTGGCTGCACGAAGTAAATTTTCCCTCACCTTTACTACTTTCTTTATTTTTGACTTCAATGTATCGAATAGGTGGCCCAAAATCAGCATTAGGATCTGCAATTGCCTGTGGTATCCTCTTGGGTGTATTCGAGGGTGTCGGTGTCCTTCTCTCCCGTGTGTTCAGCGAGGGTACACGACCACAGCTCCCGCAACGTACGTCGTGTCGTCCGACTTTATTTCGTTGACTGACCATTTCCACCTGTTTCACTACCCTCCGCACCCTCACCTCGCTTCTCATGCGCCTTGTCACATCCATAGTACCAGACACTATTCAACCACAGCCCTCAGGACACTAGCTCCATACCTGCCTCATAATCTATATTACAATAGATGTCTTTGTCTGCTCCACGGCCCACTTACCCTTTTCACTGTATATTCGCGCCGCAATGCAATGCATAGTACTGAATCTAATGATCGTCGGACTTGATATGATCCATCGCCATCAGACTCTTCCAGTCTCGAGGCTCTTTGAATCTTGAATTTGTGTAGGAAACTCATACACGGGAAGGACGGTTACTGCATGGATCGTGCTCTTGGCCAAGCTGAGTGAGTTGACGTATTATTGGTTACCACTAGTTAGTCACTCACTACATGTTCAAGTTAAAAACAACTGTTTCTACGATAAATCTTCAAACTGATACATGATAGATCATAAGAATGCCCTACATTTCAATGGAAATAAGAAACAATTGTTTTGGTGGGCTGATGTCACTCCCTGTCACCTGCCACTCGTCCAGCGGACTTTTCGTCTTCGTGTGAAAAATTGAGGATGGCGTCGGCGCCGCCTTAATAGTACTACTATTCCCCGTCACCACTGCACGTACTTGCGTACATGTATCAAACTTTTGTTTATCATTTTTGCTTCCTGAGGAGTAGGTTAATCAGCTCAGTACTGGTGACTCGGAGCTGTCATTTGTTAGGCAACTTGAGGCGCATCTGACTATACTGATGGCCCCATCATGATCGCTACTACTATTAGTAGTAGAAGGGTGCTAACTGCGAGTCGTCTAGCTCCGAGTCATGAGTTATTCACAGAGGACCTCAAGCTAGTTTGTATCAACCCATGCTGATTATGAAACGGCCTGGCCCCACTTCTGCCCACCACTTGTTTCGCATTGCAATCAATGCATCACTAGTGGTGTTGTCATCCTCTTCAATTCTCAATGTACGTACCAGCAGTGGCCTGGACTATCACTCCTACGAAATCTACAAACTCGGAACCGATGAGACGTAGCTTCGGGACGACTGTCGCTGGTCCAAGGAGAATGGATGCAGGTAGCCAGCCTATGAATCTCAATCATGGTCGATCATACCACACTGATGCAGAATTACATGGCTTCTCTCATGACCACCCGACTGTTCAGCGACGTCAGTCAGCCAGGCAGCTCATCGACAGATACGAGTCTATTTTGCGAGAGGAACCGTCAACTGCTCGTAGGCCACCAAGCGCAGCTCGTTTTCTTGGTGTATCATCATCTCGCTCTGTTGGCAAGGGGAAGAGAAGGTCTCTAAGTGCCTCGCTGCGCAATTTCCTGTCCGTCTTCCAGAAGGGAAGGAAAGGCAAAGACGGAGATGATCAAGAAGACGTCCCTACAGTTGTGGTTGACGCACCAAGCATGGCTCAAATCCCTTCAATGTACACCGAGAGTGCTCCCCTCTCTCATGATACAGGTAGCGTAGCCCTTTCAGCTGGTAAAGTCTCTGCACTTCACTCTGGTGCGCTGTTATACCTTTCTATGCCACCATCTTCCACTACTTCGCCTATCCTGCCTTCCTGGACATCCTGCAATGTCACCTTACATACCCTGGATATAATTATAACATGGTATACAACTCACGGCAATCCTTCGACTCACGTCCTTCCACTAGATGGCTGCACTGACGTTCGTTCTCTTTCTCTGAACCGACTGGATCTTGATGAGAAGGCTCTTCTTCTGACCTCAACGGACCAGTCCGAGCCGAAGGTGTTCGAGCTTCTGTTCGAGGGCCGTCGAAGAGAAAAATTTGCGGCATCATCGAGTCAAGAACGGGCACGATGGGTCAGCGCCATATGGTATGGTGATCATACATAATTAACGATGCAGATTGATGCGAAAAATTTCACAGGGATACATTACTTCAAAGGCAGTCGCAGGGAACAACACGGGTACAGGCATTAACGATACGGACAAATTTTCAGCGTAAAGGTCAAGAATACTTGCAGCCTCCGTCAGCATCAGAGTATCCTTCTTCCGAATACACTTCGTCTAGTGGTGTTGAATCCGAGACCTCGCTGACGACGGAGCAGTCTCTTCCCCCGACGCCGAGCAGCAAATACTCTCTATCCACTCAGTCTCCGGCTCGTTTCAGTCTACACGATTCGCCACAAAATCATTCTCCCATGT